ATCGTAGAATCTTATTAATCTAATAATATGTTATGTTTGAGTTATTAACGCCCCGTTAATAATATGTTAATAATTAATAACATTAGTATGTTAATGCCTGTAAATCTATACTTGCACCGAATGAAAAATATTGATTCGTACCTGATGAACCAGCTTCCGTCGTCGTGTTCGCTTATGGTGATGATGCCATTGGTTGCTGTGGTGCCGTTGACGCTAAACTACTTATTTTTCTGTCGAATGATCCCGTTATTGGTGAGGTTGATTCGCTTTGTTGCGACGCAGTTACCGTTGGATTTGTCTCGTGTTGTGATGGAAGCACTTTTTCATTTGGCTTAGTCGCCATTGCTTCAGGAACAATATCCCGCGCTTGCTGAAGTGCCCCAGCTGACGTCTTTTTTTCGACTGGAATACCTTGTGGCATTGGTTGCTGTGATGCAACTTCTCTCTGTTGAGCATCTGAATCGAGTGGAATAGTGCTGACTGGCCGTTTTGGTACGGCACCGGTTGCTTTACCAATCGATGATGCCGCTGATGTACTTCGATTTACACGGCCAGTGCTTTGAGAGCGCGTTCTTCGCTTATACGATGGCGATTCTCCCGTTCTTCCCTCAGCGAGGCGCTTGTCAGCCATTTTGCTCACGTTTATTTGTCGATCAATGAATTTCGCAATGAGTTGAAATTTCTGATCCACACTTTTTCACAATTTCACAATCACTTGAAATCTACACGATTTCGTTCGCTGTTTCTGTGTCGAAATGGTTTTTTTTTCACTGTTGTTGGTTAGTTTGAAAATAAATTCACCGTAATTGATTTATTTAGAACGCAAAGGATAATCTATAGATTTGCTGTCACTTGACGAAAGTCACTAGTTGTGAATGTACGTATGTTCTGCTCGAACGCTGTAACTGGAACGTCATTCAAACGTGCAGTGGCTCAGTGGTTTGCTCATCTGTTTGAGCCGATGCCGCTCACACGGACACTGGTTGTGTTGATGCTGTGTTGTGTTACACATAATTCGGCAGTTCTCCATGGTGTCTGTGTGTGTGTGCGGTCGGTCGATTCTGTGTCGAACATGTGTGCTATGTTACTTGAATGCTGTATTGCTGTAGCTTGTTGCCTGGATTTTTCGAACGGTCGTAAACAATCCGCTTAATTGCTCCAGCATGCTTTCTGGACTTTGTAGATTTCCAATCGATGCACATTTTCCTGTAATGTGATGTTGGTGCCAAATGTCTGGCAGTTTATTGCTGTGTTGCATTTTTTATGGCCATATTTCGAGAGGTTTTGGTAATTTCTCTCGCCGTTCTGCTTCATTTTCCCACACAGACCGTAATTTTTTCAGTCATCTGTCTGTCAAATTTGATGTTGTTGCGCGCTGTCCTTTGTTTGGACGATAACTATTGGTGTCAAGAAGGGAAATTCCCGCACACATTTTGACCGTTGATCAGGCGATCGATGTGCGGTCCTTTCTCCGAAAATCCGACAAATTACTTTCTCTTCTCGGATTTCTCTATGTTAAGTGTCTGTGACGACGAATTTCTTGGTCGAAATTGTTTTGTCACGCTGTGATGCGCTAGTGAGAAAAATCTCGACCGTAAACTATTTGGTCTATCATTTTTCTCACAGTCGAAGGACCATGTTGAATATTTAAAGGAGAAATGGAATAAATAAAAATGCCCGAGCGTTATTTTCTTAACGTTTATTCTAAACCGATGTTCTTGGTAACATTTCCAAATTAATACTGAATGCATCTCGCTATGTCGCGGCTATTTATAGGAAAAAAGGGCAAGCGCAAAAGGCTGCTTGGCTTCATGCAATGATTGCTTAAATCTAATCTGTTCAATTCTGAACATCCTCCCCGGCCTGGCCCGAAGTTCCATTGGTGCAAATCGGTAATAGACACAGCTTGACGATAGGTCGTCGGTAGGTGTGCCCCCTGCTTGTCACGTCTGCTACCCTCACGTGCCCATCATCTCCTTTGATGGTGTTGATCACTCTCCCCAGTGGCCATTGTGTCGGTGGTAGTGTATCTGTGACGATTAAGACTATGTCGCCAACTTGGATATTTCGTTGGCTCTGTCGCCACTTATTCCGCTCCATTAACGTAGTCACGTACTCGTGTGACCATCTCTGCCAAAATTCTTGAGTCATCTTCGTCATTAGCTCGAAATTTCTCAGTCTATTGGCGGCTGTTGTCGTGTAGTCCCGACTAAGCGGAGCGACCAGTGGCTCGCCGACGAGAAAATGGCCCGGTGTCAGTGCTAACTCGTCGGTTGCGTCGTCGCTCAATGCGATTAGGAGCCTGGAATTTAAGCAGGCCTCCACTTGTGTTAGCAATGTCGCTAGTTGTTCAAATGTCAACTATTGACCGCCTATGACGTGTTTTAGGTGAGACTTCGCACTTTCACCGCCGCTTCGTGCAGCCCACCCATGTGTGGTGCTGATGGTGGTATGAATTTCCACTGTGTCGTGGTTCCGTTCTGTGCGCTCAATTCTCTCCAGGTGCTGTGCTCTCCATTCCACACCAAGTGTAACAAAAATTGCAGATGACCTCTCCGATTTCGCTCAAACTTGGTGTATAAACTTCTTATGGCCAAAAACTCGCAAAGCCAAAAAATTAGGGTGACCTTCCCCACCTGATGAAAAGTTAGGGTGACCCAAATATTGAAAAAAATGAAAAATGGCACTTTTTGACATTATTACACTAGAAAAGTGTCATAAGTGTCTACATTGGTGTAGAATGGTCGTGAAATGTATCCCTTGTCGATTATTTTCGTCCGCGATGCGTTGTATCGTTTGATGTTCACCGGTCCGGCATAGTCGACGGCCGATACTTCGAATGGTCGCCCCGGTGTTACCCTTTCTTCTGGCAAATGGGCCATCAACTGATGTTGCGTTTCTTTCCTCTGTCGGATGCATGGTATACACTTCAAAATGGTGCATTTCACCGCCTTCCGGCCGCCCAAAACCCAATATCGCTGCCTAATGTACTGCTGTGTGAGCTGCGTCCCGCCGTGTAGCGTTGCCCCGTGGGCTTGCCCAGTCAGCAATTTGGCCGTTGTACACTTCCCGCTGAGTAATATTGGATGTACTGTGTCGTACGGCATATTTGATCGTTTGATCCTCCCTGCCAATCGCAGAATCCCGTCATTGTCTACGAATGGAGTTAACTTGGACAATGGTGACCCTTGTGGTAGGTCTTGCTTTCTGCTCAATATTTCGATTTCTGAGTTAAAATGTACATTCTGGCTATGTCGCACCCAAATTCTTTCAGCGTTCAAAATTTCATTGTCGGTGAGCTGCCCCATCTTTCGGAACGCCTTTTTCACCGTGAATCGGAGTACGTACGCTGTGACGCGTAACAATTTTGACCAGCTGCTAAATTGGTTCAACAGATTTCCTCTGTGATTTGAAACTGGTCCGCTGCTGTCGATGTGTACATTTACCATCGCCGTAGTTTTTCGCTCGTGGCAGCGAACTGTTTTGATATCGGCTTCGGTAAGCTTTAACTTGCTTTCTGGCCATTTCTCTGTGTCGAGAGTCAGCCAATCAGGTCCATTCCACCATAACTTGCTGCCAACTATTTCGGTTGGTGAAATCCCCCGCGATGCCAGATCCGCTGGGTTGCTTCTCGTGTCGACGTGCCTCCATTCGACACCGCACGTTAACTCCTGGATTTCTCCGACTCTGTTGCCGACGAATACATCTAATTTAGCGGGTGATTTCCCGATCCAATGCAGCGCTATCATGGAGTCTGACCAGAGTGTGCAGTTGTTTATGTCAACATCATGAGCTGACCTTACTCCCTCTAATAGTTGTGCCGTTAAGTGGCATGCTGTTAATTCCAGCTTTGGAATTGTGCTTCCCTTTACTGGAGCCACGCGTGCTTTCGCGAATACCAGGTGCACCGTGACCGGTTCGTCGTCGCGTTGTTGCCGAAGGTAGAATGTCGTACCATATCCAGTCTGTGACGCGTCCGCAAATGCATGCAATTGCTTTTTCGATTTGAGATCTGTGTTGATCCATCGAGGAATTCGTACGGCCGTGATGTTTGGTAATTCCATGGCGAATTGTTTCCACCGTTCCAATGGTTCTCCCTCGACTGTGTCGTCCCAATCCAGTTTGTCTATCCATAAGTCTTTCAGCACTACTTTCGCTAATAAGGTATAGTTGATGATATTTAGACGGTGGGCCATCTGAGGT